TTTGATCTCAATCTTACCCCTTCCCATGATCTCTTACACAATCTAATTCCTCTTCTTCTTCACCTCTCCTTTTTTTTTCTCTCTCTCTCTCTTTTTTTGGTCTTCTTAAAGGAGAAGAAGAAGTGGGGTAAAGAGGGTATATAGAAAGCAAGAAAAGTAATAGCGGAGCATTCCATTATGGGTTTGAGGATGAACAACTTTCTGAGTGGCACAGAAAGGAAGGGTTTGTTTAGGGGTTTGTGACAAAGCCAATTCAACTGCTTTTATTTTATGTTTTAATTAATTTGGCTTGGTATTTTATTTAGTTTCAAACTTGTGATGATCCATTTTCTTAACCTTTGGTTTTCTCTATGCTGGCTCATTTGATTGGAATGGTTTTTGAGATCTTTTTTTTTTTTTTTTTTCCATTTTTTGAGGAGTTTTGATTGCAAGTTAAAGTGTTTGCGGATTTATAGGGTGTGCTTATATATATATATAGGTAAAACAAAGGTTTTGGAGGATATATTGGTGTTTAACTTGTATTGGTGTCTGTGATTAACTTTTTTTCTAGGGTTTGAATGATGGGTAAGTACTAGTTATGGTGTAATGGCCGCTCAACCATCAAATCGAAAGGAAAGGGATTATTATTCCCGTTGTGTGCAAGGAATAAAGCTCTTTAAAGTAATGTGTAAAAGGGCACAGGAAAAAACAATTCAAATGTTCCAACCACAATGGAAAGGAGTGCCTCAAAGGTTGTCCATCAAAGAGAGGAAAACCAAAAATATGATGATTTGGAGTTTGGGCAAGCTTCACTAGTTATTTATTTTGTGACTCACTGAGTGGAGCCTCTGATTTGAAAGGTCCGCACCTAAGTTGTGGTTGGTAGAAACTGCAACCCTCAAATCAGTAGCTATGGCTGGAAGATTGCATGACATGACAAACTCAAGAGGAAGAAGCTATAGTCATATCTTCAATACAAGTAAATGTTCCTTGAGACTACTTCAGAGTCCTGTATATACATTATTTACAGTCCCCCACCAACAAAAAGGAAAAAAGAAAGAAAACAAAAAGGAAGAGAGTATATATTATGAATAAAACATTCTTATTTGGCCATTAATGAATATTTTACTGATGGAACAATAGTAATTTCAATATTTGGATTGGTCGATGTTATTAAGTTGGTTGAAATTTGGGAATCTCTTCTTTTTTAAGATTAAACTTCAGTGCTTGTATATTAAATATTCTGATTTTTCTACATAGTTAGAATATGTAAATCTTTTTTTTTTGGAATACAGAATATGTAAATCTTATCAATGATAAATCAATATTGCTAATTAGCTAATTGACGACCCATTTTCTGTCAATAATAGAGGCTATTAATACTTGTATAATGACCTATTCCAAGAAACTATTCACTAATAAAGAAATATTTGTCACTTTGTGACTTAATGGTCACAGATTTGGGAAATAGTCTCATTGTAACTTGTAAATATGCAAAAGTAAAACTATGCATATACAATTACCAAAAAAAAAAAAAAAACCGAAACTATGCGTATACGAATTGTCATTGCCCCACTCTCACTACTTGGAATTCAATGTAAAATTGTTTTTATTTATTTATATATACATTGCAAATTACATCATTAAATTAACATTCAAATTTTATATGATAATATCACGTATTCACACACGCATATATCGATATGCTAAAATTTTATTGCCTAGACTTTTTGCATAATTGATATAAATTTCATTTAGCATATAATCGGAAGATTGATTGTCTCTCAACGTCTCGTGACTTTGGAGATGAAAAGCCTCTCTTAATCAGCAATTGTCAGGTAAGTCCGGAAATTTTATTTTGCAAAATACAAGGCTTAAATAAGTGATTTGTTAATAGAGTAATTGTTTTCTCCTTTTACAGGAGAAAAACATATCTGTTATGCTGACATAAAATAAAACATGGGTCTCACTTCTTTTTGTAAAAAATAAAAATTCTCAATGGATCCTACCTATGATTTGGATTAGCTGGACATAAATATTTTTTCTATGTAAAAGAAAAAAATAATTACCCTTATTAATAATGGAACCAGATATCTTAGATTTTTCGTTTCTCTCTAGACACACATGATATAGAAACAACACTAAGTTGTTGCATATTTATTTCATCAAAAGTGACAAAAAAATTAGGACAACTGAAAAACCACCCACGAATCACCTACTACACTTAATTATAGTTACAACCTTTAACATGCTATTCGAATTATACATGCATTCCCAACAGTATTTGATTCAACCAATAAAAACCAAAGCATTTTTGCTTGAAAGATTTGCTATCAGTATTATCTTTGACAAGCAATTTATTAATGCAATGTAAGGCATAGACATGGCTTAACAAAAATCATACATGTATAAGCTCCCAAATATCATACATGTATATTTCATTTGGGGAACCACATGGATCAATATAGCATTGTTTAAAAAAAAAAAATATGAGTCCGTAACCCACGTTTCTTAATTCAACTAGTTCTCATGTTGATTTTACTCTCACAAATATATATAAAGTTTAATAGTTTCCCTAGTTTGTAGACTGTAGTTGCAGGAAATCAATATAATTAACGTACAAAAAAGAACTACTGTTGTGGTAAAATAAAATAAATGATAGGGTAGTATTTAAAGACTTGTCTATACCCAAAAACACTAGTGTTCAATTCAATATCAATATCAATTTCAAGAGGAGGTACATGATTCTTACCTGTTGTGTGCAGTGTGTTGAGATATTCAAGTGTGATGAGTCTCACATTGGTTGGTAATGAGCTAAGTGAAGAGTATATAAATGAAAGGACCCATGAATCTAATGCCTTAAGGTTTTTGGTTGAGACTATCGAATCCACTTGCTACGGTTGGTGTAGCCTTAGCTCATTGGTGGTGGCCCCCGCCACGGACTTCCCCTGGACCCGCTTGACATTGGAGTTTGAGGGAACGAATTTCCCAACACAGTGACCAGTCTAAGGTGGAGGCCAGTCAAAGAGATTTTGATAAGATGAAAAATATTTTCAGTGCTACAGGATCATAGAGTATTTGATACTTTTTTTACCAAATATAATAAAAAGTAGCATTTTTATACTATTTTTGTCTTTATATTTATTTTCATTGATATCCCATATTTTTTCATTTAATGAGATGATAGGAATGAAGTTTCAGGCTTCAGCCAATGCCAATCTACACTTCAGAAAATATAGATTGCCCTTTTTTGTGTTGCTTTTTTTCGAGCCCTTTCAAGTTCAACCTTTTCTAAGTCAGTTTCAGAACGCTGTTCATGTTAGAAAGCCCGTATTGTACGGGAAGGATTTAATTTAAGGGGTCCAATCTGAAGATTGTGAATAGCCTAAGACCATTTATGTGCAGGCTAGCTAGGAGGGTTAGGCATTGGACTCAAAGATAGTTGACTAGTACGAGTGTAGCCTCAACAGTTTGACCCGAGGTTAAAGGAATCGTTCCCTGTTTCCTTTTTGCATGCCACTATTTCAACGTCTCAAAGTTGCATTCCATCTTATAGATTATAGATTAGATGATGGGGTCATCGATCCCCCGTTTATTTATGATTCCGTCGTATGGGTAGGCCTGGAGTGGTAAGAACTGGAAACATAGGCAGACCCTAAAAAGGAATTGAAGTCCAGGGATTTTAGTTATATATATTATACCTAAAGTAAATGACTTAGGATCCACTTACACCACCATTCAAACCGCAGAGTATTACAGCAAGAGCCTTTAGAGGGAATTTTGTATTATTTTATTTATTATACACACATAGTGGTTTTTCTTATTTATTATTTTATTTTTCTTTGATATGTTTTTATTTTTATATGAGTTAGTGTTGCCTCCAATTGGTCTTATCCCGGATGTTGATAATGTTGTTGATGTCTCAAATGAATTTATGTTAGAAACTGATGCGTCCTGAATATTTTTTAGCTGATCACGAGTCATGAAACTCTTACTGTTGGTGATTTGATGCAACTCTTCCTTGGACCTTCAAGTGAACAAAGTGGGGGATGTATCTGTAACACATTCCAATGCTCAAGTCAGAATTTATTTAAGTATAGAGAGAAGATCTCATATTGTGTTTAGAACATTGGTATTTATAACGGGAATGGCTAATTTTAGGGGATTCTCATTATTGTTCCCAGCAAGTGGATGTAAAGGCAAAGTCTCTTTATTAGCAATTGGTGTAGGTGACTCGACATTGATTTTATAAAAGAATTACATATGAACTGGAGCAGGTATCAAAGCAGCCATTGTTGACTTCAGAAGCTTGTTTCAAGATACTTTCTTCATAATGAAATATGAGTGAATTTTTAGATTTGGTAATAAGATATCTAAAATTATGTAATATGTAAGAAACTTTCCAGAACAAAAATTGATAATTATTTGTTGAAAACATTGCCACAAAGTCTATATTAAAAGACATTTTTTTTGCTGAATCAAAAAAGGCCTTTTTTTTTAACTTATGTATAGACGTGTTTGATTTTGTGAATTTAAATTTGAAACATTGTTGAAAATATGGTCAAAGAAGATCGAGACAGTCAGCGTGAGTTAGAAAAGCAACACAGAAGAGAGGGCTTGTTTGGTCTTTCACCGCTGTAAGCATATAATGTGAACATACTTCCGAGATGCGACGTGATGACTTGGCTACAGTTATTAATTCTTAATTAAAACCAAAAAAAAAAATTCGCCGTAAGGAACTAAATGAATCAAGTAGAACATAAAAAACAAACAGACATCATTTTAATAAAATCCATGTCAAGCTACGAAGCATTAATTTATTATTGCATACCCATCCTCCGCTTCCTTGACATAGGAACCAAGCAGTTGTAGGAATAAGCGCATTGCTAACTTGAACCAGTAACAGAATAAAAGCAGTGTATAACTAAATGCTTTATAAATTATCTCATCTGTGATTTTTAATAATCCAACTTACCACTTAATCAAGAATCAATTTTCTTTTAAAATAAAAATTATTTTAAAAATAAAAGAACAACTTTCTATCTCATTTTCATTTCCTTCTCTATCATCCACCTTCACCCCATCTAACAAGGACAGCCTTAGAATCAATTTGTTGAAGTTCGAACTGTGATTACATGTGCTCATTAGCAGATAAATACATCAGTGAAGAAACAAAAACATCATATTCTCCCCTCACAAATAGGTTTGATCAGAGGTTGACCCAAGATCCAAGGCATATATCCAAATAGAGAGAACATTCAACTGTAGGTCACAACAGTATATTGGCAGATCACTCTTATAGATCACTGAATTCCAACAGCCGCATCTCTAACAAGTTACAACAACAGAATATACACAAGATCAGGCAACTTGCACACAATTTCAAAAATGGCAGGTTAAGTCAAATTGCCTGTATACGAGTGCCCACGCTGGACCTCCCCATCATGTTGTGCATACCCATGGGGCAGTCTTTGAATACGTAATCATAAATCAAAACCAATTTGAAATGCTGAAGTCTCTTAGCTTTCTAAGGTGCCTCTCCATGTCTTGTCTAGTAGTTTTCCACTCCTCCCTTTCTATGATAGTTGTCGGATCATCTTGTTCACTCTGCACATAAAATGGCATATAGCTCAGGTGTAATGTAAAGATAAATAACAAGTGCTCCAGGAAAGAAATGGTCACCGCATGTATTATTTTGAAGGAGTTCCCATTATCAGATATAACAAGCAAGTCGCTCTTTCTATCTCTTTTTCTCCCTCCAGCTCCAGCTGTGACCTACCAAAGACATATTGGTGATTAGTATAAATACTAACACTGCACACAAATCCAGATTGATTGACAATTATCCATATCAATTAATATTGCCTGCCTTACAAAGATGAGCCAGAGTGCGGGTGTAGGTATGGGGATAAAAGAAAAAAAGGATTCCTCTGTTTATGAACTTATGTACATGCAAGCAACAAGTGAAAGAACCATGCAAGCAGAGAAATTCAATCAGGGTAATGAGTTCTAACACATCCACCAGAATCTCCAGTTTCAGTTGGACTCTTTTCTTTTCATCAAACAGTAAGGTGCAAAAAAGAAGTAAGGTCATTGCCAGAAGCAGTTAAAACAACTATAAGCTTTTGGAGACATTCTTCAAAAATAGTTCACCTCATATTGAAACTTTGTAATAGCAAAAGTTTTGAATTACATACAATAAGGGCATGTTTGGTGCATAGTATTGGATAAGACCTGATAGTATAAGATCTGATTGTATAAGACTTGATTAAATTTTAATACTATCCAGCGTTTGGTATGATATTGTATAAGATAATATCCTCCAATATTTTAAAAATTAATATATAAAAACAATTATTTTAATATATTAATATTGAAATGATATATTAGTTGTTGAGAATTGTACTTGTAAGCAATATTAATACATCAACCCCTTATCAGGCCTAATCCCACCTCATTAGGCCTGATTAAGTTATACATCATTTTGATGTATTAAGGGGTTCTGCTGTATAAGCTTATACTATACGATAGTCACACCAAACAACTAAAAATGTCATAATGTATAAGCTTATACTATCAAGCCTTATACATCACACCAAACAGACCGTATATAAAATAACAGCTAACCGCTAAAATTGGAAAAGTCATCCAGAGTTATCATGTTTATTATAGTGTAAGAAGTAATAAAGCAATTAACATACCCAACATACACAGTTGCTTCAAAAAGCACAATACCATCTCAACTCACAACTAGAAGTAAACACAGATCTGGGTAACAACAGGATTTCTGAGCTTAAATCCAGTCTAGGGCCGAAAGTTTGGACACAGGTTCCTCTATGCGTGTGTAAAAGAGCCCTGCGGCTTAGAACTTGGCATGAATCAAATAAATTCAAACAGAGCTCTCTATTTTTTCTAAATGGTATTCGATGATATTTTCCAGGCTTTCGAATAAAATTGTAGAGAAATCCGAAAGAATATTTAGCTTAAGCAAAGGTGCACCTTCCATGAATTTATGATCTAACTCTTACAAAGAAATTGTATATACAATAAAAGTAATCTAAATTCAAGGCTGAAAAAATATGAACAGGCAACATGCAATTGCAAATAAGCAGCAGAAAATTCCAATTTCCAAAAGCAACTAGAGTGAAAATTAACAAAAATGTCTTTACCAGAACTTTGGCTCTGGTAATTGACTTAGTTTTGGAATCAATAACATAAATCTCCTCAAAATCTAGCACAAACTCAGGGTCACCCAGCCTCCGATTTTTGTAGTGTTTTGTCAAGTATGCCTGAAACAGTAAAGAAGTCTAATGAGGGAAACATCTTTGGCAGAGAAGGGCATCCTTTCAGTAACTGTTAATTTTTTTTTTTTTCCGAAGCTTGGACTTTTTGTAATAAGTTTAAATAAATTTTCCTCTACTAGTAGGAGTAAGTACAACAATACCTACAGGCAAAGGGGTAAGAATCAATTACAAGGAGAGTTGGGGGAGGGGAATTCCCCACATAGTCAAAGCCAGATCAGAATTTTCACAGCTTATATAGAAATAGGAATAAATTATCCACAAAGGCATGCAGATGAACGAGATCTATCAGCCTCATTAGTTCATATCTTGTTTAACATGCCACCTAACATTCCTAATGGCTCGCCTTCCAACACACCCTCAAACTAAATAACTAATATGAAGGATGAGACCTATATCTGTCAATTTTTCACCTTAACTAGCAATATAGAACGGCATCTCCCAAATCAAAAGTGACACATCAAGCATACCTTTCATAGCTATTTGATAAATAAACGTATGGAATGAGTTCCATTCTTTATACTTTATAGTCATATAAACTTACTTAAGTCATTCTTCCCTCACTTGTATGATCTAATTAGTGCAATTATCCACTGTCTTAATTCCTTAAGCACAAAAAAGAAGCTAACATGAATGTTCTTCACCAACGATCCGAGGTTGGAGCATAGTTGACAGTGAACCTAAAGGATCTACTGCTAGATAGATACCTTTGGCAGCTAATCCTCTTGATAGTACAGTAGTAGCATCTAAATGTGCAAATGTTCTGGCATGTAAATACTAGTTGTTGAATTCCATATTTTCAGTGAGTAATAATCATGAACAAGGACAAGATTCATAAATACAATTAATCAGTCAGAATGCCCCTGGGTCCCAGGGGAAGATGCTTTGTTGATAATTGATCAAGCTCACACGTATGGCAGTCCTAATTCCTCTTATCTCACCCTCTATTACCTAGAATAGAAGTGGGAAAGATACAACTGAAGTAAAGCTCATTGTAAGACTGGATCGCATAAAAGATTTGTTCAGCAAAATTTGAAGCACTGCAATCATTGAAACAGTCACCTACTCACCTTTACTCTTCTTTTAATAAGTATCCATTTTATATCACATTTTTATTTATTTTGATATTAACATCTTTAGACTAGATCCAGTTAAAAGACAAAATTGTAAGAAGCACAGTAATTCAGATATTACTTAAAGCCTCAAATCCAACAGTTGCCCATACCTTCTGGATCTCCCTCTCTGTTTTATATAGAGGATCTCTAGGTGCATCAATAGGTGGCTCTGTCACATTGTAGCATCCATAATCACTTTGCGCACATCTAATGTACTACAGATTTGGGCAAAAAGAAAGTGAGCATTAAATCTGGAAGTAATATATGAATATGAAAAGACAGAAACAACAAACAAATTGAATGAAATGAATTACTCTGAGTATGCTTTGCTCAACTTCATAAATTGCCCAGCATAAACAATATATATTGTAGATTATGGATGGAATCCACCATCTAATGCACCATGATATGAAAGAAACACTTAACATTGAAGTAAAACAAAGAATTTTTTTAAAAAATAAAATAAAATCCTATGATACTATTAGTTGAAGCAACATTTTATAGGAGAAAAAAAAAGGCTTTTATGAGCATATAAGCAAAAAAATCCTAGGACTTGTGATAAAATACCTATAAATATAACAGGAATAAGGGGTCCGATATACTTACCACCAAAAAAGTTTACCACTCTTAAAACCAACTTAATTACCGTTGATTTCCGTCAATCGAACGGTTATAATTTATTGGGAATTAATAATTAATTAATAAGTAATTAATAAGTGTGACTCAATAAATATTATTAATTCCCAATAAATTATAACCGTTAGATTGACGGAAATCACGGTGATTAAGTTGGTTGTAAGAGTGGTAAACTTTGTTGTTGGTATGTGGATCCGTTCCCTAGGAGTAGTCGAAGCAACATTTTATAGATTAAAAAATAAGTAAATCTATAAGCCTATAAACAATAATTTCCCTGATTTATGATATTCTGACAAGGCCTCACCAGCGGGGCCCTATTTTAATCTATCTCACTTTTCAAGTGGTGCAAGATCATGCATTCCCTTCTTCACATGACCATGTTATGTCAAAAACTAACATCCATTCCCAAAACGATAAAATTGCTTCGTGGCAATGTTGGAGGAGTTAAGCAATTCGAATGGCATAACCATATGAAACAAACAATGTGTGGTGGAGCATGAAAACTCCGGAGAATAGTACCTTTTGAGGCATTGGAGCGAGAATCTTGGGGATCGAATAAACATCTGTATCTGGAGGAGTAACATACATCTACAGCCAAAGATTCCACAATGAAAAGCCGAACAAAAACACAAAAGAGATTCATCTGAAAGCAGGGTACCATCAACGAACCTCCCTGAAATCATAGACATCATTGTCAGGGTCAGGTGGCTTCCTTATGAAGAAATCGCAATCTAACAAGCTAATCTTGTGAAACTCCTCTTCGTTGATTCTGTAATCCACGACCGTCTCGGAGTCCCAACCCTGCGTGGACACGAAGCTATTGCTCGGCACCATCGCAATGTCCTCGTCGCCGCCGGCAGCTGAAGCGGCGGCGGCCGCAGTCAACGGCTCGTACTCGATGTCGAAGTCCTTCTTGTTGTCGACCTCTTCCAATTCGTCCTCGTCCATTTCGTAGTCGTCGGGGCCGGCGCCTTCGCCGTCGCCATCGCCGTCGTCGGCGCGGGTTAAGAACGGGTTGTTTTTAGACCTAGAGGGAGGTTGGGCGATAAGAGAAGTGTTAGAGATAGATTTGAGTGTGAAGGGGAAGGAGCGAGTTGGTAATGGTAATAAGGGTTGGGAACTTGTAGAGAAACGTGGTAATGGTAATGGTAATGGTGGCGATGAGAGGAAGAAGGTAGAGGTAGTAGTAATAGTAGTAGTAGTCATGGGTTTTGAGAAAAAGAGAGTGAAAAAAAAAGCACTGAAATTAGAACTGAAATTTTGTTGGTAGAACAGAGGAAGAGAAGATGGTTCGTAATTGAATGTGGATTAGATTAGGCGACGGTGTTGTGTGGGCGGATCTATATTCAAAACTTTGTACCCGGCATGCTATTAAAACTTCATGAAATAATATTAATATTTTAATCACATGGGTAAATATTTAGGATACACGGGATAAGAAATGGAAAATATATATGAATTGCAATGGAAAATATATACATATGGCAAGGATGAAATTTTTTTCATGAATAAATATAAATATGAATTTTTTTTTTATAAAAAATGTATTAATATCTAAACCATAGAGATAAATATATATTACACAGAAATAAAAATATTTTGTGAAAATGTATTAATGTTTAAATAACAATAAAGATATATACACTACGTAATTGTGTATTATTTTAAAGATGTAAAATTGTGTCATTTTAAGTTAGAGAAAGAGATAGATAAAAGAGGAAAGAGAGTGAACAAAAAAATATAAAGATGTAGGTTCCACCTCTTTGTGAGAGTGAAAGGATATAAGTTGTGTCATTTAAAAGAATAAACATTTTTCCTAAATAAGAAAGAGATTAATTGAATTTAGAGGTGACAACATAGGAAATGACAATGAGGAAAAACTATTTAAACTCAAAAATGATTTGATATATTATAATTGTTGATTTATTATTAAAAAAATATATGATTGGTTTGAGGAACAGTGATCATAATGCAAATGTTTCAAAAATCATTTGCCAATATGTCACGCGAACTGTAAAAAATTTCAATATGCCATGCATCGCTACAACCAGTAGCAAATTTGCCTTGCTGATGTGGCATATTTCTGGTGACCACCTATTTACTAGTAGTAACGAACTAGGTGGTCAAAATCAATATTTTAAAACCCCGCCCCCGGGTTGACCCGGGTCAACCCTGACCCCTCCCCTCTGAGGGTTGGGGTCACAAGTTGGACCCTATATGCACATCGACCCCTCCGACTCCCAAAACCCGGCTGGGTTTCAGTGACTCCCAGGTCAGAGGGGTCAAAGGGGGTCACTGCATGTTTTTTTTTTTAAAGAAAATTCCATGAAACAACATTGTTATATTAAAAAAATAAAATAAAAATGCTTGCAAACCTAAATCTAATCGTTCTCTTCTCTCCCAGCGAACTAGACTTGTGGTATCTTGATACTTTGGTATCATTAGAATATGAATTTTGTACTTTGGTATCTTGATACTTTAATTAGATTGTGTAATATTGACTTGTGGTTGTAATTGATGAATTATGTTAAATATATTTTGAATCTTTAATGATTGGTGATTTGTTTTTTAATATTTTCATATAGGATATATATATTTATATTTTTTTAATATAACCGGGTCAGCGTAGTGACCCCGTGACCCCCTGGTTGAACCCGTGACCCCATGACCCCTGACCTCGGCCAGGTCGATTGTGGGGCCGAGTTTTTAAACACTGGTCAAAATATCAATTTGCTCTGAGTAAAAATAGGACACATGGCAGCTAGTGAGGAGTTCGCTACAGGGTATAACAAACTAGGTGCAACTGTAAAAAAAAAAAAAAAAAAACATTGGACCACATGTCTAATGTGGACAAGTTCGATACCTCATGTAGCAAATTAGGTTAAATAGGTTTATCAGTTTGTGTTTTGGAGATTGTCACCTCAACTTGACGTGGACAAGTTCACATGGACAATATAATGGCCCACTTGTTCCACTTTTGCATATAAATTTGAATTTTGTTTAAGGGTAATTTTACGTAATAAGAAGAAATTAAACACATTTTTGATAAAATTTAGCATGATTCAAAGAAGACTGTTGAGAAGTGAAAATTCTTTATTTATCCAAGAGTAAAAAAAGTGACTTTTCTGTATTTTTTATTTTTTGATATCTAACATTTTTTTTCCTAGAACAACATGTAAACAATGGGGGGAAGCCTTATGCACACATATCTAGGAACTATAAATATTGTGAACTTTAGACAAGTCTGAAGTCATACACTTTGTATATAGGCCTAGTTCGCTATTCAACCTAGTTCTGGGGTAACGAACTTGTCCACATCAGACACGTGGCCCAATGGTGTTTTTTTACCGTTGCACATAATTCGCTATGCCCCGTAGTGAACTCCTCACTAGCTAACACGTGTCCTGCTTTTACTCGGAGCAGACTGATATTTTTATCACCTAGTTCTCTATTATCAGTAGCAAACTGAGTGGCCACCAGAAAGGTGCCACATCAGCATACGAAGTTCGCTACTTGCTATAGCGAATTTGTACGTGTGGCACTTTGGAAAATTTTATTGTTTGCGTGGTAGTTAGGTCGAAAATTTAGCAAAAAGTGACTCTTTGGTCATTGTTCCTTGGGTTGACAGGCCTTGTCAAAATATCACGTGAGATGATGCATTCTCCAAGTAATTTTTGCCTTGTGGCTACCCAAATTTGACTCTTTTTTCCACCTATACTATTTTAGTTCATGTTGGGATATTCAAGTGTGATTAGGTGCCAAATTGGTTGGACTTTAAGATTTTGGGTTGAAATATGGTGTTGGACCTATTTAGTGTAGTTTATATAACTTAGCTCATTGGTGGTGTTCTTTGCCACGAGCTCCTCCTGGCCTGCCTGACTTTGGTATCAAAGTCGAATTTGGCCCGAGCTAGCCAGATGCTTAGCTATAGGTGGGTTGAGTATTTGGGTCTGGGGTACTCGGTTGAGGGGGAGCATAACAATGGTGGGTTTCACAGTTGAGGGAGAGATTGTTGAAATTTTCCAGTGTGACGAGTCTCACATTGGTGGTTGGTAATATGTTAAGTGAAGTGGCTAAGTGAGGTGGGATGAATATTTAGTTCTAAGTTACTCGGTCGAGGGGGAGCATACCAATGGTGGGTTTCACACTTGAGTGAGAGATTATTGGGTTATTCAAGTGTGATGAGTCTCTCATTGGTTGATAATGGGTTAAATGAATTGCATATAAGTGGGAGGACCAATGAACTCAAAACCTTAAAGTCTTGAGTTATGATGTGGTGTCGGACCCACTTGGTGTGGTTGGTCTGGCTTAACCCATTGGTGGTGGTCCCTGCCACGGGCTTCTTCTGGACCCGCTTGACAGTAAAATCAGAGCTGGGTTTGGGCTCAAGTTAGCCTAGTGATGGGCTAGAGGCGAGTTGAGTACTCGGAAAGAGTAGGAGCATACAAATGTTGGGTTCCCCACTTGAGAAGTAGATTGTTGGGATATTCAAGTGTGATGAAGTCTCACGTTGGTTGGACCTTAAGGTTTTGAGTTGAGACATGGTGTTGAGTGTAGTTGATCTAACTTAGTCCATTAGTGATGGTCTTCCCCCACGGACTTTATCTGAATCCGCATGACAGTTCGCTTAAATACTAATTAGTATCGTAAAGTATCTAATGATTAGGATCAAAATTATTATTTTAAAATTTGACATCAAAATCATTACATTAAATAAACACCAACTTTATAAATCATATTAAATTAAAAAAATGTCAAATTCATTGAATAATATGATAATTATTTATCCCTTTTCTTCTTAAAATCTTAAATATTTCATATTATCTAAGGTAATGAGTGATTTCACACATTATTCATAATTACTTTAATGGTAGAGTTATTTGTGAAACATTACTATTCTAGTATTGTGATTCAAATTTTTTTAGGCAATTAATCAATATGCCCTACCATTGTTTTATTTGTAACATATTCAAAGTGTGAAAAAGAAGATAAATTTATGTTTTATGAGACGAAAGTTTTAAGCACTTAAAGGACTTTGTCAAATATTCAAAAGTTTTAGGCAGATAAAAAAATTAAATATCATATAATTATCATTAATATTTAATTTGACTTATAAGTTTTAAGAGTCAAATTATTATTATTATTATTATTGTCAAACGAGAAATATTTATGATGTTATTTATTATTTCATCACTCAATAAATTTAACGTCAATTTATAAATAATAATTGTAATATTAGTTATCAAATATTATTTATTATTTATTACATTAACTGCAATGGGAAATAAAGTTGAAAGGGTGAATGAAATTTGAGTGGAACAGTCGCATAAACATGAACGTGATATAATTATATTAATTAGATGAGCAAATTTTTAAATAAAAAGGGTCAAAAAGCCCGTTTTGGAGAAAAAATTTGGTGCTTTCTTTTATTGAATAGGGTAATATTTTTTCATTTTTTTCCAATTTTTTTTTATATTTCCTTTAAGTGCTAATCTTTTCCCTGTTTAGAGCTTGTTTGGATAATTTTTTTTAAGCTAGAAGCTACTTATAAATTAAAGTTAAAAAAAGAGTTTAAAAAAAAGATAAAAATTATTTGATAATTACATATAATTTTTAGCTTAAAAGTTATTTAAAAGCATATATTTTAAGAAATTTATCTCTCTTTCTATCTTTATAGTTTTTTATTTAAAAAAAACACACAATTCAAGAAAAATAAATAAGAATTTAAAAAAGAGAAACTTTTAGCTATAAGTTTTTTTCTTCTTTATAAAGAAGAGAGTTTTTTTAAAAAATTATTCGACCTAATTTATACTTAATAAATAATTTTAGCTAAAAAAAAAATCCAAACATACACTTAATAAAAGGATGCATCGTTTTAATTTGGTGCATTGAAGTTTTTTTTGCCGTTTTAGAAGCTGCACGAAACTGAAATCACCAGTGGATCTTGCAGGAAGCAAACACTTATCGTTTCAGTTTTAATTTGGGGTGGATAAGACCCGGCCCACACGATATTACCCGCCCCAGTTCTCTTTTCCCTCCCTGGTTTTTTCTTTTTCTTTTTCTTTTTTTCCTCGGAAAAGAAAGAGCAGGAAAATTTTTACGACCAAACTCGAATTGCAGTTAAAACCCCCAGGGTCAGGGACAGAGTTCATTTTTATTTATTTTTTTCTCCTTTTATTTTCGTTAATTAATTTTGGAATCCCGCGCAATTTGTCTCGAAGCAAGCAATATCCCATGTTTGTCTCTCTCTCACACCCTAATTCTTGAATCTTGGTATCAATTAATTTGGGTTCCGATGGCGGAAGAGAAGAGGGCTTCGTCGTCGTTCGTTAAGAAGCGAGACCGGCAAATGTTCACGGTGGAGCTCCGGCCAGGAGAAACCACCATAGTTTCATGGAAGAAGCTGATGAAAGACGCTAACAAGTCTAACGGATCCACTTCTGTCCCCCAACACCCTACAATCGCTCCGGTGAGGCTTTTTTCAACGTCACTGTGTTTCTTTCTAGATGTAATTCCCTATTGTATTGTTATTTCACAGTCGTAGATGAAGTCTTCTCAGCTTTCCCTGTTGATATTTTGACTGCGATAATTTGCATTGTAGTAGGATGTGATTCTTCATTCGAAATTTTGGGTTTGAAAGGGTTTTGTAGCAAACTAGAATTGTTGTTCTTGAATGCTTTCCTATTTGACTTCAAATTCATGAGTTTGGAGTTGATATATGTTCCTATTTCGGAGTTTACTGGAGATGATGTTACTTAACGTGACTTGTAGTGATCTTATAAGAGTACTGAAATATGAAATAGGACTATCGGGAAGTCTTATGATTCACTATTTTTACTATTCTCTGCCCATCTTTTTTAGGGACAACCTGTTGAGATTGAAGAAAATGATCCTTCTCAGCCAAACCGTTTCAGTGCAGTAATAGAGAAGATTGAACGCCTTTATATGGTATGTGCATATTGCTTACTGATATTGTTACCATATGCTCTGTATCAGCATGAATTAGTTTGTTAAACCATTGATTCATATTGTAGATGTGTTTGAGCTTTTATATTGTCAATAAATTGGATGTTGAGTCATTTTCAGGGTAAGGATAGTAGTGATGATGAGGATCTGCTTGATGCTCCTGATGATGATCAGTACGATACAGAAGACTCTTTTATAGATGATGCAGAGCTGGTTGGTGTCTTTATATATTTTTTTGGTTCACTAATATGTTAGGGGGTGTTTGGTATGAGTTTTTTGCTTGAAATGCTGGTAAAGTGGGGGGAGGAAATTTTTTTCCCATGTTTGGTATGGGTAAAATGAAAAATAATCCCAGGGAAATTTTATCCCCATCATTTTATTTTTAACTACACATTCCTAAAGAATAATACCAACTCAACCATGGTTTTTTTTTCCCCACGTACTCGGAATCGCACAACAAAGTTTGGAGACGAAATTGCCCTCATTCAATATATCTCAGGAGATGCGTAAAACCTTGTTCTTCAAACCCTCATACAACCTTGTTCTTCGTCAAGGAAGCCCTCCATTCTCCATTACTGTAGATTCAATGAAAACGGTGGACAAACCAAATGTTTTCTCAAAGCTCATTTGTGAAATTAGCATTGACCTCTTATACTCATCATAATCTGCAAGAAAAAGAAAATAAACCAGAAGAACATTCCTCATTGAAGATTCTGCTGTGTGTTTAAGTAAACCAGGTTAACAAAATTAACTGTGGCCTTACTTTCAATCTCCCTGAGGTTAAAAATGGCAGCATCAAGCTCTTCCCTCTTTGCATCTCTATAAAACTCCGAGACATAGGTAATTTTGTAAAACGAACGCTGAAAACAAATATTCAAACACATGGGTAATTTTGTAATTTCAGTCCAGATTCCTACAAATATTTTACAAGCAACCAAACATAGCATTATAAAAATAACTCAACATTCCTGACAAAAATTTTGGTCTACCAAACACCTTTTCATAACTTGCTTGGAAAAAATAATTTCCCACTATATTCCAAGTAATTTTTTTTCCTAGTAAAAAAAAATATTTTCTCTACCAAACGCCCCCTTAGAGAATAATATAAACTATTGAAAAGGCTCTCACCTAACACCTTAAGGTTTTGGGTTGAATTGGTCTTTTACACGTTATCAGAGCTTCGATCCTTACTTCTTCCACTTTTTAGTGGAATTAAATAAGCACAAGGTAAACCAAAAATTGGGCCTGTGCAATATCCACGTTTCAAGCTCAAAGGGCTCTTGCGTGAAGGGGTATGTTAGAGAATAATATAAACCATTAAAAAGACCTTCACCCAACACCTTAAGGTTTTGGGTTGAATTGGTTCTTTACATAATAACACTCTTGACCTATGATTGCTGGCAGTAGTAGTATTTCTTCTGTATTACTTTTTTATGCTCTTAAACTGTTCATTGCAGGATGAATATTTTGAGGTTGATAAATCTGCTATCAAACATGACGGGTTCTTCGTAAATAGGGGGAAATTGGAACGCATGTAAGTTTTGTTTTATTCTAAATATCTGCTTTTGAATATTTTTTTTCTTCCCAAACCACTTAGATTAAGGTTAAAGCAAATCATAGAAAAGTTTGTTTGCAAAGTACTCAATTGTTGATCTTGTTTCATTGCTGAGGTTGGTCTATTGTTAATTTGTTATCATCTTGTTGTATTTGCTGTCAAATAACCTCCGTTTTTTAGTTGACTCATTATTCATCAGTTATAAGTTTTTTTTGTGTGTTGTTGGGTTTTTTTTTTGGGGGGGCAAGGGGAATTCCTATCGACATGCTTGTCTTTATTAGATATTCTGGTGTTGTATGTTCTTTCTTATTGCTCCCGACAACATTTTTAATATTATTTTTCTGGCTTGTAGGTAAATACTCTTTCCTTCGACACTTGTCTACAAATGTTGTTCTGATTTTATGAATATATTAGTTGAAGATTGGAGTAAATGAGTCTAACAAACTATGAATTATTCATACTGATTTTTTGTTGTTTCTTTCTATATTACAAGAATTGAACCTCCTGTATTGCCTAACCAGCAATCAAAGAAAAGGCGCAGAAAAGATATATTGAAGAATCCTGGTGAAAATAATGATGATCATAGATCAAATAAACATATAAAAGTGGGCAAGTCAGCATCTGGAAAAACAGCTTCAATACAGGCGAAGAATATATTTAATCCTTCACCGAATTTGGTTGCACCTGGTGAACATAATGAAGAATTGAAACTTCAGAATCAATCGGATCTCTCTGGAATTAGTTCAAAAAAGAAAACTGCTAATGCAAAACCAATATTGGACCCTTCTGTCTCTTTGAAAGCATCAAGTGATGATATTCTTGCTTCGGTGACAGAAGTAAAAAATGCTGATAAGCAGAAGATAGGAGCTTTTCAACCTAAGAACATCAGTGATAAATATAAGGATGCAAGTGGATTGTTTGATGCATCTCATCAGAAGTACCTTGAAAAAAGTGCATGTGCACCTTCCAAATCCCAACCTGGAAGACCCTCAAGTACTATTGATGATTTGGAAAGTATCAGTCGGTCAAAAGAAAAAAATGGCATCTGCGAACTGCCGGATCTTAACTTGTCTGAGGGAAAGTCTGCTATGCAAGCAACTGTAAGTTTTTATTTCTTTGCTTTTCTGCATCTTACTTCTTTAATTTTGATTTGATAAATAATTTAAAGCAACAAGCGAATACCAAAAATAAAGGTCCTCTGCACTGCTGTGCTTTCAGCAATTCTTTTTTACTATTCAACAAAAGGGTTTTCCTGCTCCAAGTCTCAGACCATAAGTGGCCCACGTCATGTTGCATTCAACAACTGCCTTCCAAATAAGCATTTTCTTTGTAGAACTACTTTACATTGAGACTACGAGATCAAGTCTTACACTGACACTAAGGGATTACATGCTGTGTGCTAGACGAAATGAGAGCCAAATTCCCAACAATGAGCGAATTAATAAAGCCAAAGAATATGCATTGCTGACTTGCTTTCTTTTTTGCATGAAGGATAACAATCACGTGGAAGATGCTATGTAGGTGTTAAGCATGAATTCGTAGTTAAGTAGCATTATTGCTTCAACCTAGTCCTTTGACTAGGTATCTTGGCTGTCATGAGGCATGATCTTTCAATTAAAATGACAGCCACTTTATTTAAAGGGAAAAGCAAACTATCCTTATGACATGCTTTTGGTAAATTATTCATTTTTTCCCCAATTATTGTGACTAGAAATGACGAAAGTTGTGCATATGGATTGTTATGCATGAAACTATTTTTTTTTTCTATTAGTTCCTGTGGTAGTCATGGGTTTATTTGAATGTTATGCAGAAATCTGAATACATGCACAAGAAAGACGGTTCTAGTGTTAGGCCAAAAACTTCAATGCTTGAAAAGGCTATTCGCGAGTTAGAAAAAATGGTTGCAGAATGTAAGTTTTGAAATTGTTATGAATATCCATGTTTCTCATAGGAAATGTGGGAAGTTTGTTGCTAATGCTAAGTTTTGCTCTGCTTTTCTTTTTGTTTTGTTCCTTTTGAATAATATTACAGCAAGACCACCCGCTGTGGAAAACCAGGAAGCTGATTCCACATCCCCGGCAGTCAAAAGGAGGTTGCCTAGAGAAATAAAGCTAAAGCTTGCTAAAGTTGCTAAACTAGCGGTCCTGGCAAATGCTGCTGTCTTGATTTTATGATTCCAGAGATATATACTATTTTATATTTTTACTCAAGGGCTTCAAACATTGTAATATTAACTGTTATGTTTTTGTTGCATCAGGCAAGCCATGGGAAAGTATCAAAAGAGTTTATTAACCGTCTTATGAGTATTCTTGGGCACCTGATTCAACTCAGAACATTAAAGGTATAGGAACCTGTTAAATATAAACAGATAACCCTTTAGTGTCAGTTGTGTCAGTTTCCAACTTTAATCTCCCCCTCCCCCTCTTTTAGCTGACATACATGGTTGGAACCCAAAAGTTATGTGGCTTTGAAACTTGCATATGCTTACTTTTCTCTCAAGTCACCTGTCCAGTGTTGCTTCTCTTTTGTACAATTTTTTGTTAGCTTAATCATTAGGATATGGAGGTATGCTTTGAGTACACTCTTGACCTAATCACTTGCATCTTTAATTTAAATTGTGGATTGTGTCACTTACTAACTGTTGTGTCTCTCTGAAAAGAATGCTTCAATTTTCATTTCCCATTTCCTTTTTTTTTTTATTCCTTTAATGTGATGTGACTATGAAGCTATGACAGTATTATCTCTAAATAAATGGTAGTACTTTGCCATTTTTTATGTCAATAAAAACTGTTCTCATGAGGAATAAATTCCCTCCTCTTATTTACCTTTTTAATTTTTGATGTCATAGTACTCTTGACAGTTTCTGTAACTTATTCTTGTTTCTACACTTTTTAGTTTAGGTATATTTAGGTTTTCTTAGTTCCTGAAACTACTTATCTTCTTATATGATGTTTTCCTACTACAGAGAAACTTAAAAACAATGATCAATGTGGGTCTGTCAGCAAAGCAGGAGGAGGAAGATAGGTTTCAACAGATAAAGAAGGAAGTTGTTGACATGATTAAGATGCAGGCTCCAATTCTGGAATCCAAGGTTTATTGTAGTTTCACTTGCTATTACATTTCTTATCAAGGATTGGTAAATTGGCTTACATGTGTTTTATTTTTACTCAGATTCAATTCTGATGAGCTCTTTATGCCTCCAGTATTACTGCATGACATAGCACATATAGATTCTTTTTTTGTATCTGTCAGCATCACTGGATATGTTCTTTGGTGGTTCTTATGTTTTGCATGTTCTCCATCTTTGTTTAGCTTTGCTGATTCTTCATTACTGATTTTGTTTCCCCCATCATAATTCATCCTATTTTTCCTGTTATTCTTTCTTTTGGGTGCTTCTCTTAATGGATCCAATGCAATTTTGTGGTTGCAGTGCAAAAACTAGTTATGGCAAGCTTACTAATGGATCATTTACCTGTAAAGGGATTTGATTGCTTCTAATTATGATACTCAATTGTGTTTTTTTTCTATTTCTTTTTAGTTTCGCACTATAACAAATTTTCAGGAAAATTTCAATCATATGTATGCTGAAATAATGCTTTGATTATTTAATTTGGATTGCATGGTGTTTTTGGACACATCAGCAACAGCAGAAAGCTGGACCATCTGGTGATTTTCAAGAATTTGGTCCTGATGGAAAAGCAATAACTAAAAGGAAGTTTAGTATGGACACAGCTTTGGAGGACAAGATTTGTGATCTATATGACCTTTTTGTTGATGTATGGACCTGAGCTATAAATATTCTTTTGGAAAATTCTGTTGTATGTGATAAAGCTTTCTTATTGAACCTTGTTTGCAATTGCTGTAGGGGTTGGATGAAAATGCAGGTCCCCAAATCCGAAAGTTGTATGCTGAGGTGATTCAAATTTTCTAAATCTTTCTCTAAATATTGGTCTAGCAGAGCTACTGGGTTGTGTGCTTTGTGTTTTTCTGGCTGAGGACCAAAAAATTAGTCAACTTGGTTTTTGAAGTTTTTCACTTGCTTTCTCCAAGCTTGATTGGTTTCTTAATGCCTCATTATATTATGAGCTAAACTTACATATTGTTTGCATATAAAACAATATAACGGAGGGTGCTATTAATTATTAAACCCCCCTTTTATCCCTAGATGACGTTGAAAATAAATGGTTTGCAATTTGTTTTCAGAATTTTTTGGTGTTAGAATTACTCAGTCATGGAATTTTTCTTGACTGCCATTTTGATTTTTTTTTTAATTCCAAAAAACAATTCTCTTCTTTCCGGAAAATTGGTGCTACTTAATAGTTGATATATATGTGTATGTGACTATCTTTGTAGTGAATGTGTTATGTTGTGTCTAAGTTAATGTTTCCATTTTATAAACAAATATGTTTATATTTTTAAAACTTTCAAGTTCCTTTTCTTCATCAGCTTGCAGAATTATGGCCAAATGGTTACATGGACAACCATGGGATCAAACATGGAATTTGTAGGGCAAAAGAGAGGCGTAGAGCACTGTACGACAGACATAAGGTATGCCTTTTGCAGCGAATAATGGTTTTTAATATTAGTGAAGCATTATTCAAATCTCACCTCTCTAAAGTAGAAGAAAAGAACTATTTAAGCCACTAGGATTTGTCTAGTGATGAGGGATTTGAGTAGTTTCTATGAGGTCATAATTTCAATTGTTCAAACCTCAGTGCCTCCATTGTATAAAAAAAAAGAAAAGAAGAAAGAACTATCTTCCCTTTTTTGCAAATTTTTTGACATAGGTAAGGAAAGAGTTTCTTGAACGCTCTCTGTGCCCTAGACTGTAATTGCCTATATGGCATCGTCGTATTAGGAACGGCACATGCTCGGGTTGGTAGTCAAGGTCATAGGTCTTACCCAAGATTATATGAGGGAACAAGTATAGTGGATTGTAGGACCTATACAAGGATCATAAGATTCTTCCTCTAGTGGAATGTTTGGATGGAGGAAAATGGAGGGGAGAGGAAGGTTTTAGGTAGACCTTCCTCTTGTTTGAGATTTTTATGAAAAAAATGAGGATTTTTCATGTGATCCTCCCAAACCCTCCCTTGTTCACTTTATGAATATTTCGAAGTGCCCCCTATTTTGGAGGTCTGTTTGGATGTTGGAAGGGAAAGAGAAGAAATCAAAGGAAAAAGGAAGAGAGAATTCATGGAATGGAGGGCAAGAGAATGTGGATTTTTTTGGGTTGAGGGTTGGATTTAGGTAATTTAACTCAAACAGAGTAATAGTAAAACTACAAGACAAAGGGTTTCTGAAAGAGAAAGAGAGAATTTTTTATTTATTTTTATTTGGATACATAAGGAAAAAGAAGACAGCATCAAAACTAAATACACATCCTGAAGTCATAACTCCCATAACATCATTCTGCAAGAGCGCAAGGCAACCCTCAGGAGGTTCTATAAATTCTTGTGTAGATCAGCTATGATCCTGGGCATTTTGAGCTACCAATCAACCACTTGGTTTCCCTCTCTTTAAGTGTGGGAAAAGAGAGAAATTCTTGCACCAAACCAATACAGAGCAGCTGAACCCTATTGAAACCCCAACCTAATCTGAAACCCAATGTGCAACTGTAAGATGAAGCTCTGGTTCTAACTTTAAATCTGAACTCAGAGCTTCAAAACCCAAGGCCACGCTATTTATTTGTTCATAATTCTGATAATGACAGCCTACTTTTTGTTTAGAAGGAACTTTATATCTTATCACACTTTTGTTTTTGGACGCAAGTCTAATGTATATTTGGGTGGACATCTCGTCTCCTATTACCGTATTTTGTTTTTTCTCATATTGGAAGTGTTAGAAATGATGAAATACCCAAACGAAAGTTAGTAACGATGTAGATAGCGGAAACTCTTTTCATCGTTTTCATTTCACTGGTTTTCTTTTTGAATTACATTCAGTGTTTTATCTGTCTACTTTGTCTATTAGAAGGACATATCCCTTTCCAAAATTAGTTTGCCTCGAAGATCATGTTTTATCATGTTCCCATGAAGTCACTGAAGTGTTGATTTCTTTATTAGTCTCTCTTTGTTGTTCAAACTCTATACTTTGATCAAGGTAACATGGATGACAAAGAGTTAAATCATCTTGGCATTTTTTATAGAATTTTTTAGGATTTTTCCACCGGTTTATCAATTATCTGACTAATCTATTTCCAGCTCAGTCAGACCCATCTAAGGGTTATGACTCTCTCAAGACTTTTTTTTTTTTTTTTTTTTTTTTTCCATTCTGTGGATTCGAACTCGAGACATCTTGTTAAGTGGAATAAGGTCATTACTGCTTGAAATAATGATTATTAGTATAAATAATGGAAGAACAATGTTGTCCTTAAGAGAGGGAAAAAACATTAAATGAACCTAATTAATAATGGAAGAACAACATATGATTCTTTTATACTCAGATGATAGCCAGGATCTGATATTTGTAAGGACAATATTGGATTTTAGTTCATTATCTCATTGTTTCGTGTGTTTTTAGAATCAGGAAAAAATAAGGAGGAAAAAGTTGTTGGTACCTAAGCAAGAGGAGAATGTTCAATTTGATACTAGTTCGAGTACTTCACAGCTGAACCAGCGAGAGAGATTAGCAGCTCCAGAATCTAGCAGTCATGCTTTTACTTCAGTGAACAAGCCAGTTTCTAATACGAGCTCAGCTGTCCGGATCTCTAGTCCTATGAATGGTCTAAAACAAGAAAAAGCAAAGGGAAGTTCAAGCAGTTCCCTGGATGATGTAAGGGTTGCAGATGGCGTAATAACAAAGAAGATAAAGAGAAAACCAGAACTTGAGTTGGAAGGAGAACATTTTGGTCCTGAGAAGGTAGCTTCTTTGCAGGGTGAAGAAAGGTCTAGGTCACTAAAGCAGTCTGCAGTTCTTCCTACCAAATCAACTCTTCAGTCAACGTCTCTACCGGGTCTTGAGCAGTCAAGCTAACATGAGATCAAGTAGGAGGTTTACATAACACAATGTCAAACATTTTTTTTTTTCCCCCTAATCTCCCCTCTCCATCAAATTGCTTTCTACTTATTTTTACCATTTTTGTAATTACATGTCCTTGCAATGCTCCACGAAATATAGATAGATTTGTTAATTGTTATTAGTTATAGTAGCTCTGGCAAACCGTCTTATGACCTTAACGCTTCTTTTAGGCAATGTTGCTACTGGCCTACTGCACCCCGAATGCAATTTCGATGATAAGTTAAACAAGCATGACTCATCTAGAATGCTGGTTGAGTTGAGAAGTTATATTAAACTTGTTCCAAATGACAAGTACCAAAGACTATCGAAGGAAGTTTGTTCGTTTCCACAACAGGGGATCATTAAGCAATAAGTTCCGCTCCGCCAGATTAGAGGTCATAATCTTATATTAAATTTTCTGTACTTTGTTAAAAAAGAAAATAAATCTAGGTTATTGGTTTAATATATATAGTTTTATTTCATTGTAAATAAAATCATAAATTTAAATCACTAATTTTGTTGCACTTTTTCTAATTTTTTCCCCAATGTATTAAATCTCAACTCTTCCATATATTATATAGACAGTGGCTAATGTGTTATTGAGACTGCAAATTTTTAAGAAACATTGTTAAGAGTAAAAATAAAAGTTAGAAAGAATATTGATAGAATTTAAATACTATCTTGCATTGAAGTATAAAATTGTATTTTTAATAGAATTTTAAGTGCATATTTGTATTGATTAAAAAATGTAACTTCTGAAAAAATTAGAAAATAATTATCTTTTCATAAGCGCTTTCAAACGCGCTGGGAGACTAAAAAAATAAAAACCATTTCATTCAGGAAAAGTTGATAATAGAAAGAGAGAGAAAAACAGTTACTTTAGACTATCTGTGGGCTAAATTGTTGACTTAATTTCTAGTTAATAGGAAAAGACAAAAGTCACTTTCTTCAATTTTGTGATATAAAGTAGTGGAAATTTAATCTAGGTTTCGACATCACATGTAAAAATTTAATCTATGTTTGGCATGAGTGGATGGAGAATGGAACTTCGAACGCATTGGACACTAGAAATTGCGCTAAGCGAGGTCTTTTTCCACTATTTCTTAAATTCAGATAGGCAACTATCAATGGGGCATGCTCATGCTCATGATGAAAAAAAATATAAAAAGGGAGTTAAACCTAATAGGGCATCCTATATTTTTACATTGAAGTAGTTATAGGTGACCTAGCTGCAAATATAATTATTTATATAATAATCCTCTTATTACGAGTTATTAAGAAATGACCTACACTTTGACACTCTTCCTATAGCCACACTTGCCACTTTTAGGAGTGAGATGAAAAGGTGTTGTGAGAGCTTGCATGTTGATCTCGAGAACTACTTAATTCCTGATGATGATCGAAGCTTGGATGTGTGGAGGAAACTTGAGAGACTGAAGAATGTCTGCTATGATATTGGTTTTCTTGGCAGCGAGGATTATCAGTGTCCGGCACTAGCTGCAAATCGGAGTCCTGTATATTTATCCACTTCCAGAGAGGATAGAGAGTCCAAAACAGAAGGAGGCCTAAAGAGGGTCGTTATCCATGGCAGGGAGATCAACTCTGGTGAATTCTATTTTAGCTTTTATTCCAACCTACTCAATGCAATCCTGCTTGCTTCCTATGAAGACCTGTGATGCTATTGAGAAGCGATCCCGTGACCTCTTATGGGGATCTGCGCATGATAAACAAAGGATTCATACAGTGGCTTGGACAAAGGTGTGTCAACATAGAGACAATGGTGGTCTAGGCTTCAGAAGAATGAGAGGGATAAACCAAGCCTTCCTCATGAAGGTTGGTCATGCATTGTTGACTCAAAAACACTGCTTATGGGCCAAAGTACTGAGGAACAAATATGCTGTTGGGGAGGATCTTATTCCCAATTTGTCTCAAGCCAGACAAGCTTCCAATCTTTGGAGAGGGATCCTCAAAGTGTGGCCAAAGGTAATCTCAGGATCGAAGATTCAGCTTGGAGATGGGAAAAAAAACCAAATTTTGGACTGATCCTTGGCTCATTGGTAACTCTTGCATCCATCCATTACAATCGGCACACCTTACGGAGGAGGTTACCACCTAGATGGTGGACCAACTAGTTGACAGTAATGGCAATTGGAATTGGAATTTGTTATGCCAATTTGTCTCTGTTCATTCTTGCGAAGCAATTGCCAAGATTATGCCCCCAAGCACCGAGAATGGAGAAGACTTAGTCATCTGGGGTAACACCAGTGATGGTGTCTTCTCTGTTAGATCTGCCTATTATCTCCTAGAAGAAGAAGAAGTTCAGCTTTCAGGGACATCCAATGTTTTTACCCGTGGAGATGGAAGGGACCAGCAAGAATTCAATTGTTCCTTTGGAAAGCCCTTGGTGAATACCTGCTAACTAATGTGGAGAGAGCAAAGAGTCAATTGACAAACTGTACTCTCTGCCCCAGATGCAACACTGAACCAGAAGACCTACTGCATATTCTCAGAGATTGTAATTGGAGTAGAGACATATGGAAAGAGCTTCAGATTCACACTCTTCAACTGACTTCTTTGACAGTAACCTAAAAGATTGGATCCGACATAATCTTCTTTCTGAGTATGCTCTTCACCTTCCTTTCCACTGGAACCTGCTGTTTGGAGTCACCCTTTGGTACATCTGGAGAGATAGGAACAATTTGATCTTCAACCAGAAAATTTACAGCCAGGACTCAGTCATCCGAAGAGCAAAATTTTTTGTCACGAACCTTAAAGAGGCACAACAGGTAATGGGGATGGTTGGAACTGAAAGAAGCCTTAGAATTGAGAAACTAATCTGTTGGGACTTTCCACCACAACAATGGATGAAACTCAATGTCGGCGGCTCTAGTAGTGACAGAGGAACCCACTCTAGTTGTGAGGGAGTCATCAGAGACGACTCAGGTAGATGGATCATAGGCTTTACTAGGAATCTGGACAGAGGATCCTCCTTAAGAGCTGAGATCTGGGGTCTCCTGAATGGCATTCAACTAGCTTGGAACTTAGGCTGCACGAAGATTTTGATAGAAGGGGACTCTCAAGTTGCTGTTAACTTAGTTATTAATGGTTGCGAAAAAAACCACCTGGTTGCTCCTATGGTTTACCAGGTGCAAGCCATGCTTGAAAGACAGTGACAAAACTATCTCACATCTATAGAGAAGGGAACATGGTCGCAGACGCCCTAACTCATCATGGGACCAAGTGGACAGATTGGGACTGCCACATTCTACAAGAACCTCCAGCTGAGTGTAGAGAATTTCTATGTAGGGATTTGATGGGTACCTATAGCCCAAGAATTTGTAACCTTCTGTAACCTTTTATTGTAATTCCTCTTTTTGCAAAAAAAAAAAACTATTGTAGATCTTAGAGAAGAGCCTGTAAAAGATAACTTCTATCAAGCAGTTGTGCGTGATGTGATGCTAATTTTCTGTACGTAAATAAATCTAGGTTATTGGTTTAAGAAATATAATTTTATTTTGTTGTACATGAAATCATACATTTAAGTTACTAATTGTGATGCACTTTTCTTTTTTTGCATTTTAATGTTGTAAATCTTAACTCTTCCATATATTATATAGACAGGGTGGCTAATGTGTTATTGAGACTGGAAAATTTTAAGAAACATGGTTAAGATTAAGAAAAATTTAGGAAGAATACTGATAGAATTTAAATACTATCTTGCAATGAAATATAAATTTGTATTTTTAATAGAATTTTAAGTGCATATTTGTATTGATTTATTTTGGATTGAAAAATATAACTTCTGAAAAAAATTAGAAAATAATTATTTTTGCGTAAGCGCTTTTAAACACGCAGGGAGACTATAAAAATAAGATCTGGATCCTCTAATGTGAAAAATCACGTGACCATGTCATGTGGGAAATCATAACTATACAAAAGTAGATCAATGGTAATAAAGGAGGAGAAAGAAAATATATTAAAATAGGTAGTTACAAAATCATAACCGTTGATTTACCTTTGTATGGTTGTGATCTTCTCACATGATCATGTCATGTTTTTTTTCACATTAGAGGATCCATTTCCATAAAAATAAAAACCATTTCATACATAACAACTAATAATAAAAGGGAAAATCAATTGTCATGTTACTGTAAACATGTTTTTTTTCCAGCTCTCCCATCGAAAGCAGCGTTTTCTGTTTTCTTTATTTTTTTATTTTTCTCTTGCGTGGGACCCATATCTCACTCTATCAGCAGGAAAAAAAGTAATTGGCCCTGTTACTTGATACAAATAAAACCCATAATAAAAAGAAAAGATTGGTGAGCGATGAGTGAGAGAGAGAAAGGTGATCATGGGAAGAATCCTGGCAAATCAAGTGAAGAACTTGACATTCTTCAAAGAAGTAATAAGAGGAATAAAGGTGAGGGAGATCAGTTTTCAAATGATGTATCTATGATACCTAGACATGAAGGTTGGATGGAAGATGAGAATGGCCAACGTTCAACCTGGAGGGAAATTCTGATGCGTCATAATGGAGAAGATGATGAATGGGAAGGAGAGGCGTCTGCCGAGGAAGACTTAGATGGGGAGGAACCTGCTGAGGAAGAGGATGTCAACCATGGAGGAATTAAGATGTGGGAGGAAGATGATGGGCGTACTTATTTTAGTTGCACCAAAAGAGCAAGGAAGAGAATGAGGAAACCTTGGGAGAAAGCTCTGATTGTTAAACTCCTTGGGAAGAAAATTGGGGTGGAGTTTATGAAGAAAAAAATAAATGTCTTATGGGCTAGAAAAGGCAAAATCAATGTCACTGATATTGGTAATGACTTTTTCGTAGTCCAGTTTAGTGAGAAGGATGATCTCAATTTTGAGTTGAACGGTGGTCCATGGATTGTTTTGGGTCATTATTTATCGTTGAGGAAGTGGGAATCAACTTTCAGACCTAATAGTGCTGGAATTGCTAAGATTGCTGCTTGGATTCGTCTACCGGATATTCCCATTGAATTCTATGATGAAGCTTTTTTTAGAAGGATTGGAAACTGGTTAGGCAAGATGATCAAGGTAGACAGCAATACAAATGCTCATGTAAGAGGACGGTTTGCAAGAATATGTGTGGAACTGGACCTATCTCAGCCATTAAAGGGTGACTATGTGCTGGAAGGATTTACCAAACAAATTGAG